ACTTATTTGCTGATAATTTTTGCTATTTTAAGTTTTGGTCTATCTATCATAGATCATTATAGTTTCCAAGATAATAGGCAAAAATGATAAAATGGTAAGTTCATCATCTAGGGGAAATAACTCTTATAAGAAGTCTCCTGACAGTTTTGATGTAAATAGACAATAGGTAGATCTCATCTTACAGAACATGTTTGCCCATGCAGATTGTTTCCATCTATAGTTGTTTTCAAGACAATAGACAATTGAATTTTGCCCTATGTTCTATTTTTAGCCATGTCAGCTATGTTGGTTGGCAGGCGGGGTTTTGGGACACATTTTTAAAACTAGATACCCCAATGATGGTTGTGGACAATTTAGATTAAATTTGGCCAAGTAGTTTCAGAGGATAAGATTTTTGTAAAAAACAGTTAAAAGGACAACAATGATGGATGCCAAGTGATGAGAATAGCTTGTATGTTCCTTTAAGTAAGGTGAGCTAATAAGGGGATAGCACTAACACAAAAGGGAGACAACTCCAATGTTCTGAATCAGAATCTAAAGGATTGTAGGTAATTTCATTGTTTGTTCCCAAAAATGAAAATTACATCACGTCATTTGTTGAATTCCCATTGTTTAGGAAGTTGTAAGCCAATCACAACATTTTGATGTAGGCTTGAGAAAATATTACCCAGGTTTCATTAGATTCTGAAACTGTGAATTTGATTTATGAATGGTCAGTAAAATTACCAATACAGTTCCTTTAAATTTAAGTTTAAATCTCACCTTATATGTTTGTTTATTGGTTGCTTTATTTTTTCATATTTTTTTTTATCCATTTCTTGAAAAACTAAACATTTATCCAATGGATATGATTCATGGATCAAACCTAGTAAAAAATCAAATTATGATGTTGTAATTCTAAAGTCCAAATTCTTTTTTCTCATGGCTAAAAACATAGGGTATCTTCTTTGATATAACGTTATATTCACCGTGAGAAAAAATAAACGGCTCCTTTTATACTAAATATATTATCTGCTTTGTATTGGCAGATGCTAAACTTTTAAAAGTTGAAATATTCAATAAGATTTATTAAATGATTACATTTTGAGCCAATGAGAAAAGAGAATTTTTAGTCATATAATAAAAGCAATTTTTATACCATGTATAACTATTATTATATTCATGTTCCTGATCAGGTACCTTAACTGTTAGTGGTTGTTTGATGTCATATCGAAAAAAAAATTATTATTATTTGAGAATTTGGTGTCCATGGCAGATCTTTGATTGTTTCTGTTTAATTTATTCAAAACTTTTATAGAATAAATTGCCTAATGTATGCCAATGATATAATTCTGTTATATCTCATGCAAAAGGCCTCCAAGCTAAACTTGATATCTTTGATAGATATTCTAATGACTGGTGTCTGACTGTAAATCTAATTAAAACCAAAAAAAAATTCAATCTTCAATAAGGTGTGGAAACACATACCTCATAAATTTAATTATATACAATTATTGACTTTTGATGAGGTTGATACAATGATTTATCAACCCCAGAGATATGATAGTCACCAACGGCCATATGTGAATTCATTTACGGTAGTGAAATGGTCACTTTAACTCTACTACAGCAAGATTTAGGAACAGTATCATATCACCAGACAGAATATATTCACATTTAATTAGTGACAGTTAAGTTTTGTAAAGGAGGAGGTATAATATATATCATTATCAACAGTACCATCCTTCAGCATGGACTAACTACATTGTAGATTCCTTGCCCGGCTTTGGCTTTACTTTTTTGTCCGTTTTGGTTTACAGCTCTTCATCTTTTTAATAAGCTTTAGATTTTCAAATATTTTGGCCTCGAGCATCACTAAAGAGACATTTATTGTCGAAATGCGCATCTGGTGCAGAAAAATTTGTACCGTTTATGTTATTGTAGAACCTTTTCTATTGCCATTATATTGTTATTTTGTTGTTGTCCTAGATTATGTAGACATACTTGCCACTGGACATTCTACAAACATCAATCAATCAATCATTTATTTTTAATTTTTTAAAGCAACTCTTTAATACAAAGGTTTGATTCCTAACTTGGTTTTGATACTTATTTGTCCTTTCAGATCTTTTATCCCATTTCTCCATGAAAATAGACATACCACACCACATCTCCTTTTTAGCTCACCTGGCCCGAAGGGCCAAGTGAGCTTTTCTCATCACTTGGCGCCCGTCGTCCGTCGTCGTCGTCCATCGTTCTTAACTTTTTACATTTTGAACTTCTTCTAGAGAACCAAGTGTTGTTACTTTGTGGTGGATCCATCATCCAAGAGGGATGCCAGCGGGGGACTTAGTTTAACATAGGACCCTATGGGAAATACATACAAATGTCTTCTTTTAGAGAACCACTGAATGGAATGAAACCAAACATTGCATGAATGTTCCTTATGAAGTGCTGACCAAGTGTTGTTACTTTGAAGCTGATCCATTATCCAAGATGGCCGCCAGCGAGGGACTTAGTTTAACATAGGACCCTATGGGAAATACATACAAATGTCTTCTTTTAGAGAACAACTGAATGGAATGAAATCAAACATGGTATGAATGTTCCTTATGAGGTGCTGACCGAGTGTTGTTACTTTGAAGCCGATCCATAATCCAAGATGGCCGCCAGCGAGGGACTTAGTTTAACATAGGACCCTATGGGAAATACATACAAATGTCTTCTTTTAGAGAACCACTGAATGGAATGAAACCAAACATGGTATGAATGTTCCTTATGAGGTGCTGACTGAGTGTTGTTACTTTGAAGCCGATCCATAATCCAAGATGGCCGCCAGCGGGGGACTTAGTTTAACATGGGACCCTATGGGAAATACATACAAATGTCTTCTTTTAGAGAATCACTGAATGGAATGAAACCAAACATGGCATGAATGTTCCTTATGAGGTGCTGACCAAGTGTTGTAACTATGAAGCCGATCCATAATCCAAGATGGCCGCCAGCAGGGGACTTAGTTTAACATTGGACCCTATGGGAAATACATACAAATGTCTTCTTTTAGAGAACCACTGAATGGAATGAAACCAAACATGGCATGAATGTTTCTAATGAAGTGCTGACCGAGTGTTGTTACTTTGAAGCCGATCCTTAATCAAAGATGGCCGCCAGCAGGGGACTTAATTTAACATGGGACTCTATGAGAAATACATACAGATGTCTTCTTTTAGAGAACCACTGAATGGAATGAAACCAAACATGGCATGAATGTTCCTTTTGAGGTGCTGACTGAGTGTTGTTACTTTGAAGCTGATCCATCATCCAAGATGGCCACCAGAGGGGGACTTAGTTTAACATGGGACACTATGGGAAATACATACAAATGTCTTCTTTTAGAGAACCACTGAATGGAATGAAACCAAACATGGTATGAATGTTCCTTATGAGGTGCTGACCAAGTGTTGTTACTTTGAAGCTGATCCATCATCCAAGATGGCCGCCAGCGGGGGACTTAGTTTAACATAGGACCCTATTGGAAATACATACAAATGTCTTCTTTTAGAGAACCACTGAATGGAATGAAACCAAACATGGCATGAATGTTCCTTATGAGGTGCTGACCAAGTGTTGTTACTATGAAGCCGATCCATAATCTAAGATGGCCGCCAGCGGAGGACTTAGTTTAACATAGGACCATATGAGAAATACATACAAATGTTTTCTTTTAGAGAACCATTGAATGGAATGAAACCAAACATGGCATGCATGTTCCTTTTGAGGTGCTGACCAAGTGTTGTTACTTTGAAGCTGATCCTTCATCCACGATGGCCGCCAGATGGGGACAATGTTCAACAAAGGACCCTATGTACAATACATACAAATGTCTTCTTTTAGAGAACCACATACTGAATGGATTGAAACCAAACATGGCATGAATGTTCCTTATGAGGTGCTGACTAAGTTTTGTTACTTTGAAGCTGATCCTTCATCCATGATGGCCGCCAAAGGGGGGACTTCCTTTAACATAAGACCCTATGGGAAATACATACAAATGCTTCTTCTAGAGGTGCACTGAATGGAATGAAACCAAAACATGGCATAAATGTTTCTTATGAGGTGCTGATGAAGTGGTTACTTTGTTGCCGATTTACTGTTCAAGATGGCCACCAGGATTTTTTATCAAATTACAGGACCAATATTAAACCAAATTCGGCCTCACTCATTATTAGCTAGGGTATCTGTTATGATTTTAATCTATTTTTACATGATTTCCAAAACCAAAGTAGAATCAGGTGAGCGACACAGGCTCTTGAGAGCCTCTAGTTATATACACACATAGACAAATAACAATACATGGTCCTGATTACCTGACAATCACAAAATTTGGTTGAGTTGAACCAATTTTTATGCAAACCCTTTACCCCATTTTGTTTTTGCTTATCCAGGCCATTATTTGTAAAAGTCGAAACGCACAGTAAAATAACTGTTGACACAGAGATATGTCTGGCATTATGTAATTTTTACAGTATAATGCAAATGTTGAAATTAAAATGGAAATGCTTTTAAACTATTCAAAACATTCAAAATCAATGAACCATGACTGAAGATTCAGGTTAAATAACCTCTTTGGAAATGATTAATGCCACTGCTAATACAACAGCATATCAATTACCTTTGACTTATCATGAGTGGTTCCCTTTAAACTGACTCAAGCACAAACTTTAAGTTTCAAGTTTTGAAGTCAATGAACCATGATTAGGGGGTTGGGCCATATAATATCCATGGAAATGACACTTGCAAATTGTGATATAACTGCATACCAATATCATTGACTTTCCATCAGTTGATAAGCCACATTCTGTATGTGCCTGTCCCAAGTCAGAAACCTGTAATTCAGTGGTTGTCTTTGGTTGCTGTATGTTGTATCTTTTTTTATTGTTTTGACATGAATCAGGTCGTTGGTTTTTACTTTTGTTCATATCAGCAGAAAATATATTTATATGCAACACCAAGAATTTTTCTTTTTCAGAAATTTTAATAAAAAATACCCAATATTGTAAAATCTATCTGAGTGAAGTATTGTCAGTAAAATCAGTTGCCAATAACTTCTGGTACAAATGATCTGACCAGCAGGTGAATACATTATGATTTAAATAAAGTATCTGATTTGCATCTGCATCACAGGTATTGTTTGTTCATAAAAACAGAATCCCTTATTGTACCAATTTGACACAGGACATCATAGGATTTAGGAGCCATTGAATTTTTGGTGTCTTCCTTTGAAATATCTGTAAATCTCACCATTAATCTGATTGGAATATATTTAAATGTTACATTACACAAACAGTTGTTTTTGATATACATACACTTTCAGGGGGCAATCCAAAAACATCGAAACATTTTAAATTCTTAATCATTTGTCACCTTATGGTGTTTCTGTGTCATAGCAGCACAATTTGAGGTCCTGAAACAAAATCCCTTTGTTTGTATAAAGTTTGGGATAACATGTTTTACTGTGGATATTTATCATTTGATGTATAATTCTATGTTTATATTAAAAAAATTTATATTTTCATTGTATTCATATAATATATTTTGAGGTACTCTTCTTATTGAGGTTTCAATCCAATTATATCTCTATTGAACATTTTATCTATTTTCACTGCCAGCCTTCAGTAAACTGTCCCTTGGCAATTATTGGCATAGTAACCTATTAAAAGATATGTCCACATCTGAATAACAATAGCGACTACATCAGCCTTATAAAGGGGAGGTAACAAATGTCATAATACTGCTTTAAAATCATCAGCAGTTCAAAAAATATGTTTGAGCAGCGTTTAACTATAATCCAATTTTGATCACAATAGCAACTACAACAGTCTTATAAACGGGAGGTAACAAATGTCATAATACTGCTTTAAAATCTGTATCAGTTCACAGAATATGTTTGATCAGCATTTACATTTCAATGCAATTTAATTCCTATAAAAGAATTAAAGAACAACTATTTTAGCTTCCATCCTTCATCAATTTTTCCTTGGATATACTGTGAATGGTAACCTGTTGCCAAATTACACACAAGGGTAATTACAGCAGTTATATAAATGGTATTAACCAGGTATCAAATGTGATTATACTCTTTTGTAGTATCTAAAGGAATTCAAAAGAAATGTCTGATGAGTGGCATCACTTTTCTAACCGTATCCAGAGGCCCTCAAAAGAAATGTCTAATCAGAGGTGTCACTATTCTGATCCATAATGGCACATGTCTATCATTCTGTAAGAATGTCTCTCTGGAAACAAGAGTTGAACTCTGATAAAGTCTGATATGTTCCTGTAAAAGATGACGACGTGGATTATAATTATTAAGTTTGCAACCTGAATACCTTTAACAATTACATCAATTATCTTTTCAAGTAATTTATTACAAACTTTAAGCTTTTAAAGTGTTGACATATAATAAGCTAAATAAGAGTAACATAATGTTGATATTGCTCACCAAAACTATCTATCTTACATAAAACTGTCATTTGGTATTGTATTATAATCCCCAGGGACCTCCAAGTTACTTTCCTAATGCCCTGGGGATATTAGGCTCATGATTGTATATTTCTTTTTCCTGTGTTAAATCTAACAGAAGAACATATATATTGATCAACTTCAGCTAATTTACTTAATTTTTTAATAACTTTTCAGCAAAGGCTATGGATAATACACCTTATCGCTATTTGTCCGCCATTACTGGACATCACAAAGGTTCCCATAAAATTTTGACGTCACAATAGAAAATATCTGACGCCACAATGGAATAGTGATTGTTGAATGACGTCAAAAGTTCAAGCGGTGCAGATTCTCGGGTCAAACGGCGCAGATTTCCAAATAGCAATAAGATGTATTCAGGTTTACAGATAAACACTTTTTCTCCTGAGGTTAATTTGAGATAGTCATCATCAATGAAGTTATGTTGTTGTAAATCAGGCCGTGGGTTTTCTCTAATAAATTGTTTTATATTTTGTCATGTCTCTGACTTTAATAGCTGACAATATGGTATGGATTTTGCTCATTGCTGAAGGCCATACTGTGACCTATAGTGCCTTAAATCCATATTATTTCAACTCTTGGTGGATAGTTGTCTGATTCGCAATCATACCACATCACCTTATTTTTATATTGAAGATGATTTTTAAAGAACAAATAACAATTTTAAAAATAATTTTAATATCATCTTGATTGAACAGACCAGCTGCAAGATAGTTCATAAATATATGAATAATTTATAGTCTAACATGGTGTGAGCCAAGGCTCTGTGTTGAAGGCCGTAATTTGACCTATAATGGTTTACTTTTACAAATTGTGACTTGGATGGAGAGTTGTCTCATTGGCACTCATACCACATCTTCTTATATCTAACACCTAATATTTACCTCCTTTAACTGTTGCTGTAGTTGATTGTTATTAGTCACTATTGCACACTGACATTCCAAGTCTCTGTATACAGATCTATACCCTGGAAGAGAAAGTCAAATTATTGTATCAATTCCTGCATAAACCCCCTAGCCCCATTCATCCACACAATAAATCTCCAAAATACGAATTCAAAGTTAGAAACAAAGACAGAACTACAAGTAAAATGGTTAAAAAGACAACAGGATATATATATGTTTAAATCATGGAAACAAATTGGTTCTAATTCATAGAAATTGTAAGGCAAGGATTTTACATCATGACTGTGAATTCAGAAATTATTGCGAGGTTTTTATTATTGCGAATAATTCGACTGGTTTAGTATCGCAATAATAAGAACTCGCATTTTGAAAGATGATACATATATCTGTATGCAGATTTCCCTGAAATCGCAATAATTAATCTCGCATTTTTGTCCATTCTTCAAAAATCGTAATAATAAATGCACGCATTAATTTCTGAATTTATAGTAGCTAATTGATTCATCTAGTTTAACTAATAAAGGATCTGATATCTTGTATAAACCTTAACGTAATACTTAGTACTGTGAATTCATTATTATTTGTGGAATACCATTTTTTTGTAGATTTTGAGGGAACACGAATTTAAATCTTCAACGAATTACAAATTTCCCATAGGCCTGTATACAGACTTTTTCAAAACCACAAAATCAAATATCCATGAAAACATAATGTTTCCTCAACCCAGGAAAATTGGTACCATGTAAATAAATGAATCCACAGTAACTGCTTCCTTTATAAACACCCTGGCCCTATCCTTCGGCACAGTAACTGTTTCTATCATAAACCCCTTAGCCCCATCCATCGGCACAGTAACTGTTTCCTGCACAAACCCCCTAGCCCCATCCAACGGCACAGTAACTGTTTCCTGGATAAACCCCCTAGCCCCATCAATTGGCTCAGTAACTGTTTCCTGCACAAACTCCCTAGCCCCATCCATCGGCACAGTAACTGTTTCCTGCACAAACCCCCCTAGCCCCATCCATCGGCACAGTAACTGTTTCCTGCACAAACCCTCTGCCCCATCCTTCGGCCCAGTAACTGTTTTCTGCACAAACCCCCTAGCCCCATCCATCCGCACAGTAACTGTTTCCTGCATAAACCCCCTAGCCCCATCCTTCCGCACAGTAACTGTTTCCTGCATAAACCCCCTAGCCCCATGCATCGGCCCAGTAGCTGTTTCCTGCATAAACCCCCTAGCCCCATCCATCGGCCTAGTAACTGTTTCCTGCATAAACCCGCTAGCCCCATCCATCGGCACAGTATCTGTTTCCTGCATAAACCCCCTAGCCCCATCCATTGGCTCAGTAACTGTTTCCTGCACAAACTCCCTAGCCCCATCCATCGGCACAGTAACTGTTTCCTGCATTAACCCCCTAGCCCCATCCATCGGCACAATAACTGTTTCCTGCATAAACCCCCTAGCCCCATCCATTGGCTCAGTAACTGTTTCCTGCACAAACTCCCTAGCCCCATCCATCGGCAAGGTAACTGTTTCCTGCATTAACCCCCTAGCCCCATCCTTCCGCACAGTAACTGTTTCCTGCATAAACCCCCTAGCCCCATCCATCGGCCCAGTAACTGTTTCCTGCATAAAACCCCTAGCCCCATCCAAGGGCACAGTAAACTCCAAAAACATGTATTTAAGACTTACACACATGTCCAAGTGAATTATCAAAACTCAATGAAGTGACTTACACGCATGTCCAATTGAGCTATCAATACTCAATGAAGTGACTTACACACATGTCCAAGTGAATTATCAATACTCAATGAAGTGACTTATACACATGTCCAAGTGAATAATCAAAACTCAATGAAGTGACTTATACACATGTCCAAGTGAGTTATCAATACTCAATGAAGTGACTTACACACATGTCCAAGTGAATAATCAAGACTCAATGAAGTAACTTACACACATGTCTAAGTGAATTATCAATACTCAATGAAGTGACTTACACACATGTCCAAGTGAATTATCAAAACTCAATGAAGTGACTTACACACATGTCCAAGTGAATTATCAATACTCAATGAAGTGACTTACACACATGTCCAAGTGAATAATCAAAACTCAATGAAGTGACTTATACACATGTCCAAGTGATTTATCATTACTCAATTAAGTGACTTACACACATGTCCAAGTGAATTATCAATACTAAATGAAGTGACTTACACACAAAACCTACATTGTTGGTGGCATTTTAAAGCCAAGACAAGGTGACCAGCAAACCCATGAATATTTTTTAAAATATCAGAGCTTTAAGAAGATCCACTTCAAGAAATTGAGTACAGTCTGAATAATCACTTCCAATGGTAAGAACTATATAATAATGATTATTCTCTGTAGTTCTTTAATTGACTTAAGACAAATGTTGCTGTTTTGTTTACATGGTTTAAGACCCTTTAGTTTTGAGGCTCACAAATGTTTTATGTATTTCTTTTCCAAAACTAGGCAAAGGTAACCATATGAAGATTATTCAGGGAAAGTACTATTGTATATATATTACCTCCTACATTATTCCATATATTTTTTATTTTCTATTTTAGAAAGTCAAAATGCAAAAAAGATGAGATTTGGCTACATGATGAACAAACAACTTACTGTGGAATCATTATTTTTCTTTGGATACCAATTTTTGTGGATTTTGTGGGTACAGGGAAACCACGAATTTAATTGTTCAACGAATTACACATTTTCTATAAGGTTGTATGCAGGGTTTGGCAGAACCACAAAATCAAATATCCACAAAAATTGATACCCATGAAAATAAATGAATCCGCAGTAAAATAAAACACTAAAAAGCAATCAATATAAATATGATCTTTAACCTTAAAGCCATTGTAAGGTCTTTACCAAGAGATAATGGAAAAAAGGTATGTTAAGCCCTTCTATAAATACCAATTTCAGGACAGAGGAAATCCTTATCGTAAAAATTTCTTACCAAAATTAGCAGATCCAACTATAGACATTGAGGGCTGTGAATCTTTCTTTAGGTAATACCATAATCCTTTCACATGAAATGTCCATTTATTTCGGAAGTATTCTCGTAATTTGATCCTGTCATGTTGTTCGTATTTACCCGTAAGTCTGTAAAATCTCTTAGCTATATATATGTAAGCTGCTGGAACAGCACCAACAAAACCTTTGGCACCAAAAAATCCATTTACCTGTGAAGAATAAGATGTTATTTCATAACTACAATAGAAGTAATAAAAAAGTTCATGCAGAGTTTGAAAAAAAGGATCTGGGCTATCAGTCATAAAAATATACTCAGTACTCGGAGTACAAAATGTGTGCTCGAAACACCAAATCCAGCATTTTGATTGGTTGAATTCCGAGTCTGAGTATGAAAATCGTACTCGAAATTTTTATGACTGCAAGTCTGGGGTAAAAAATTTATGCTTGAATCACCAAATCCAGTATTTTGAGTGGTTGATTTTTCAATCTTGAGTACAATTTGTACTCCAAATGTTTATGACTGTAAGGCATGGTGCCAGGTATTCATCCATATGTCACCTATTAGGATTTTTGATTGTGTTATCATCAGATTCATTTTTTAAAACATATATTGGAATACATTAAAAATATCAATTTATTATTTGAAAAATGATGTATGGTGAGTAAATTAAACCTACCTCAGGTGATGCCATGAGTATATCATATTTTGATTGTGATTGTTGTAAAATGACTTGTAGATAATGATCCGTTAAATTGAAATAACCAGATGCTAAAAATATCTCCTCTCCTTTTTCAGCAGTTCTAAAAATAGATTTCATAGCCACTTCATCGTCTACAATACCGAATGGTCCCATTTGAATCAATGGGTAAATCCAAGTATCTATTTTATTTTGATCTGAATTTGAATCACTTTCTGTCACATGATCATCAATATTTATGGTCACATTTGATTGGTCAAAAGATTTTGAATTTCCTAAACTGTCTTGATTTAATATCTCTGGTATTTGAACACTTTCATTGTCAGTTCTTTTCTTCAAAAGGTTAAGAATTCTTTTCTTGGCTTCCATTTTGAATTCATAATCTGAACCTGTAAAAGTAGATTAATAGGAAATTAGAAAAGCTGTGAGCAAACCTATCAAATTCCTCAACCACCATTTGTTTAAATATAAAGTCCATGATGTGCTGCTTTAAACTTAGAAAACATTTGGATTTAAATAGTATAGATTCACAATGGCATTATGTAAGAAAAATCATATGAAAGTGTTTTGCAAATAAATTAATGGTTTATGATAGTGTTGTCAACGGTTAACCGGGTAACCTGTTAACCGTCGGAAGGACCGAATATTGAATACTAAAAATGTTAACCAGTTAACCGGACTTTTTTTTAATTTTAATAGATTTGATATAAATGTGTATTGAAATCATTAAATAATTTTATTCTATTTAGAAATTATCGTCGTGGTAATTAATTTCACAGATCAATTGTCTAGTATATTGATTGTTTAATTGTTAATCCAAAAAACAAAAAATTAATTAGAACTTAGACAACTTGTCTATCAGCTCGGGGCAAGATCTTAAGTAAACATAATTAGTATACATGTTTATTGAAACAGTAACTTTAAATCAGTGATCCGATTAAATTTTATGATTTACTTCATTATTTTATATTTAATATTGCGTAGACCTACATCTGAATGTGCAACCTCCATCGTGCAAGGCTTTATCATACTTTAAATGAAATGCCAACTAAAAAATTGTGAAATTCAAATCAACGTGAATGTAATTAATGTATACTTGATGGTAACAGGCTTAATCATTTCAAATTGAAACACTCCACATTATTGTCTGAGACATCAAGAGAAAAATGAAAGAATCATCAGTTTCAGACATTTTCAATTCGACGAGATCAAGAAGGTTTTTTACTGAGGATTTTTAGTTTTCAATCTGAAGTTATTACAAACGCCATAGTAGATAAAGTTATAAAGGGGCATAACGGTAAAAGTGACGCCACCCAAATTCGAACTTGATCTGTGTATTGTGGTATTGTGGTATAATAAGCATTGTGAATATGTTTCATAACATTTGGTTGAGGCAAACTAAAGAGAACAGAAACTAATTTTGGGACATACTTACAGATGGACAGAAGGATGGACGGCCAAAGGTAATACTTAATGCTCCCCCCCCCCCCCCCCCCCCCTCTGCCTCAGTGTGGGCATAAATATCAAGCTTCTGGTTTTAAGAGGACTTTCTATCCATTGTGCATACTGGCAGATGCCACATTGATTACTACATGTATATACAGCAGCCGGTTCAGAAAGTCCTTATCCTCCAGTTGAATAGCTATGACAAAGGTCATTATTTGCTGCGTTAAATCCCGAAAATATATATTTGGATTGAAATATTAAGGTGATTTAGACAGAGATATTTATCAGATCAGTATTCTACCATTCCATATGTGTCACCTTATTCTGAAAACCCCAAAAGTATGAATTTCAGATGATGTAATATATCATGCAAAATTTAATATCATACGAAGATAAATATTTTGTGGTGAACTCCGTTTTCTCTGAAAAGTTCCTTGATTAGCTACTGATAAAATGATTACTACAAAACTGACATTTCCCTGCTGGTATATTTGTGTATGGCATAGAAGCCTATAATTTATACTGGTGAAAACAAAGCATTGCATGTTTGTGGGTTCTCAATATTTCTTGGAATTTGTGGTACAAGCAGATATGAACTTAAGCATCTCATGAAATTTTCATTGTAATCCTAGCACAGAGAAAAGTTTCATAAAATTTATGATAAAATTTGTGATTTTTAAACAAAAACTAAGTTATTTCCAAAATTAATGAGCCAAATTTATCAAAATATAATATGCACCAGTGTTCTCCATTTTTCACTAAGGTAAGGTGGGTGTTTTGAAAAAATCACTTGCAACCGGGTGTAGTTTTTTTTTTTACATTTCCAACCTTTTTTTTTACTGTGGGTGTTGTCACAAAAAGAATGGTTTGTATTGTATTCACATTAATTTAATGGAATTGAATAGCAGATGACTTTTGCAGGACTCCCTCCTCCTGCTAAGTCTGCGAATGCATGGATTATCGATCCAAGTTTTTGTCCTGTTCATTGCTTTAGTGCTGTATTTTTGGCACACAGAACAGTAATATCCTTCTTCTGTGACGATTAGCCATTTAAAGTCCTGTTCATATTTCTCAGCTTGGGAACAACCCCTCAAATGAGAGGTAACCCCTTATTGTAATGACTATCCCTTTTATGAAGGGTACTTTTCAAGAGAAACACATGAGCACATATGTATTTCGTTTACAGAACCTTTTCCCAAAGAACTATACATCTATTTGGTTTTATATAGTACACATGTCCAAGAATTTTGTAATAATCCTGGACTTATATCTTCTTTATCATTAAAAATAATGGGTCCCTCTTTTAGAAAAGTTGTTCCAAATATTATTTAACTGTACAATATCTCATGTTTGTTGCTTATACTATTATAATTGTTAATTGTAAATGCCCCCTGTGGGACCCTGATTGGAATAATAAAATATTTGATTAGATTTAAAAACGATAATCTTAGTTTTTCTTTTTTCCTTTCTTCAACAGTAACACGACCTCTTGTCTGAGAGACAGTCTCTCATTTCAGGGATATCCCTCATTAGGGGAATTGTTCCCAACCCGTTTATCTTCGCGATCCCTTGCATGCCTTTTCCGTTGTTTTGATACTTTTTTCAATTTTAACAATTTCAATTCAACTATCCGTTTTAGTTGACTTATTTGGCCTAGAATTTTCTTTATCACCATTGTCATCTGCCTTTCTCTTCCCCCGAGTAATAAAAGAAAACATTGAAATTTGACGATCCGCCATTTTTGTCAATGAAAACAAATCAGCGAGGCGCAATTAGTATTTCAATTTTTACGGTGTGGAACCATTAAAAAATCTGGAATTTGAAAAAAAAAGCCGACCACCTCCTAAAATGGAAAGGTGGTCGGCTTTCAAAAGATGGTGGTCGGCACACCCGGCTTAAATGCCGAATGGAAAACACTGGTGCACATCTTCAACAACTGTGCAAAATTTAATTGGCCTCCTACCTATATTTTTGGAGTTTTATGTGTTTATACAAATTGTTGACGGACAGATGGCAGACAGACAGATGGACTAAGTGAACTGTACGACTTCAGCATCCTCAATACAGGGCCTTAATAAGTCAATCTATAGGATTAAGATGTTTTAAGGGTCCTTTAAATGAAGGAAAACTATAAAAGAGTCTGCTTTGATTTAAGTATTTTCAAACACTGATCCCACCAAACAGAAATGTGCAATCTGGAAGTCTAATAAGCAAAAGACTTTCCAATGTCTGTACCTGGATTTCAACTGAGTTTCCACTGAAGTGATGATAATTTTGTCCTCTATTAATAATATGGTTCCAATTCATAAAATCAATTTTACCTTCAAATGGATGAATATTGCACTGAGAATGAAGTTCAACAGAGTTATCTTCCTTTAGTTGGAAGGAAAAAGAGCCAACTGTTTTCACTAAGTCTGTAAAGAAGTTAGACAACTCTGAACAGTTATTAAACAGGACATATCTGTCTTGTCTGTTTGTAAAGTAATCATTACTCAGATTAGCACTGAAAAAGAAAACAATAGAAAAGCTGAATAACATTGATTCAGATAGTTAAGGGTAGATAATTCAAATCTTTAAAACAGCTGTGCATGAATGAACTGAAATATCAAAGATATAAATTATAATCTACAGTAACTGTTATTATTCTTTTGATAAAGTATTTTTATTATTTTCATTTTTTTTAGATTTTTTGGTCTGATATATTAACATAATTAACATCCTGAACATGCATGAAATATCTGCCAGAAAGTTTTAAAAATATCTTTGATAGAAAGTATCACTCATTTTGTGTGTTTATATTATAATGTACTACTATTCAGAATAGTATTATATAGTTTCTATATTAGAATAAAGGAAGAGATTCAAAATTTCTGCTGACATTTAACCAATTAAATATTCCTTATATGAAAGATTAGTAATTTCTTGTAAAAAATGCTTACATTTTTTTTTTCAAAAAAAGAATATACTTAGATGCCAACCTTAGCACTTACTTTTGGGAATGTAATCAATTTGTGACCCCTCTCACACCCCCCCCCCTAATAATTATCAATTTCAATAAATATCCTGCAGTTAAAAAAATCTTTGAAAAGAAAAATGAACAGTTGTGTATTTATAAATTACTATTCAGAACTTTTGTTTTGTGGTATCAGTAAATTATAAAGCAATCAATTTAATTTTTATATATGTTAGGGATCTAGTCTGCTAAATGTACCTGAATTCCTAAGTTATAGAAGGAATAACAGTACTGTAGTAGAAGAGTTGCTGCTATCAATTGGTGAGTTGACAATGGCTTATGCAGTAAAACGGATATTTCCGACTGTCAAATCCCAATTGACGGCAGCAACTCTTCAAGTACAGTACTGTTAATCCTATTCTAATGAATTACTAAAAGAAATTATACATAAAGAGCTGGTCAAAATGTATAAACTTATGATAAAATAAAATTACGCGAAACTTCATGAATGATTTTGGCATGTAAACATCATTGATTGAGTTAAGCCTTCCAATGGATATTTTATAGTGTGTTTTTCTATGTTGTGATGTTATACTATTGTTTCAGAAAAGGGAGAAGATTTGGTACCATTAAAACGTTTAATCCCGCTGCAAATGTTTGCACCTGTCCTAAGTCAGGAATTTGTTTATGTAGTTCATACGTGTTTCTCGTTTCTCGTTTTTATATAGATTAGACCGTTGGTTTTTCCATTTGAATGGTTTTACACTAGTAATTTTTTGGGGCCCTTTATAGCTTGCTGTTCGGTGTGAGCCAATGCTCCGTGTTGAAGGCTGTACCTTGACCTTTAATGGTTTACTTTTATAAATTGTAACTTGGATGGAGAGTTGTCTCATTGGCACTCTAACCACATCTTCCTATATCTATCATGGCAAAACATGATGTTATACAAATGAAAAAAATTCAGATTTGGATGAAATCTCATTGAAATGTAATTTTTGAGGTAGATTATGTTTTATTTTCGATTATATTGTATTAATCGAACATTTGTGAATTCCAGCAATTCAAAATGGCGGCCGAAGACATTTCAATTGTAGATTTGTGGATTTAACGGGAAATTTTAGCCTTTTTTTTTAACATAAAAATTGCATTAGAATGGTTTATAATATTGCTCTTACCCACTGATAACAAAACTGTCATCAAACAAATAAATCTTCATATGATTTAGTCCTATGACTTCACTCATTCTTCCTGTCAGCAGCCTCTTCCATATCCCTCTCAAATCAGGGGTATGATATAGATGGACTGAGATTATATCTTTATACTCTTTTAACAATGGTGTCAACATAGTCCGAGAACTTTTCTCTACTCCACGAGATCCACGATTGTAGTCGAGCAAGATATGTACTTCTAAGTTATTGTTGCCTTTTGTTTTTGCTGTGTGGCATGCTTCTCTAATTGCATCTACCTAAAATACAAAAAGTAAAGGGAATGACAGTTCTGCTAAGCAGAGCACAAAAATTTAAACTGCCTGCTACCAACAGACAAAATGACAAAATTCATGCTTAAATATGAGAAATCCAAAAATTCCTTTTGATCAGAAACCTGTTGTTTGACTACTGGAATTGCTAATAAGGACTAATTATAAGATGTGTGCATGAAAATTCACATCACTATGTTGCAGGTGTATAATAAACATGGTTTCTCTCATTCTTGGTGTAGTTAAAACAGATCTGACCTGTTGTATATTGTATAGAATATTGATTAACAAAACATTAATTAAATCTTAGTGTATGATTTCCCACCAAATCTGTTCGAAATAGTTACATTGTTAAATTTTTATTTTGCTATGCAAGTCTTTCATTTCAAATTTTAAATCTTGAGAAGATACATATCCTTATTAGCTGTATTTGCATAATTTTTCGTAATTTTCTGTTTTTAATGCTCTTCAATTTCGTATATGATTTGGCCTTCTAACTGTTTTTAATCGAGAGCCACTGATGAGTCGTATGTAGGCCAAACATGAGTCTGGCATACCAAATTATAAGTCTGGTATCTTAATTGAGTTTTTGTCTTTACATTCTTATGACATTTATATGTTTGAGTCCTGCACATGGTTAAAAGATTATATGCTGGACGTTAAACACTTCCCTTTGACTAATGATAAGACAAACTTACTAGTTCTTGTTCTAGTTGACCTGTTCCTAAGTACAGAGACGTAAATACAATCCTTTGTGTGGCTTTTCTAGCATTGGACTGGAAAAAAAAAGAATATAAGCATAGCTTATATTTTGCCCTTGGTAGTTCCTTTAACATTGATATTGTAATGAACTATGCTGCTTTAATTAATCTTTAATTAAAGAACCTTTGTGAGCACGCTCACATACCCCACGTCACCATATTATCACTGGGCAAACAAAATCTCACCAGATTACTAAGCTAAAAAACTCATAACGCTTACAAAAGTCATCTGATAAAAATTTCTTGTGGATATGTACATCTACATATTATGTCCTTATTATCTACTAAGTTTCATAAAATTCTGTTATGTGGTTTCAGAGGAGTTCTGATGAAGAACTGTAGCAGTAGTATATTTACACCAAAATTCTAAATTCTTCTACCTTCTGAACAATAAAGCTTTATACAAATAGTTCACACCGCCTCAGCCCGATAGTAATCCCTATGTCATGCAAACTGCGACTTTCGTCCCATGTGAGACAAAAACAGCATGTCCTGAGAACGAAAAATAGAAAACAAAGGCGGGCAAAAAGTTTGTGCCAAAAAAGTTAATTTTTAGTACAAATCGACAATTGAGAAAGGCAGAGTTCACATTTTTGTAGAACTGATATTTAATACCATAAAAATTACTATAACACTGTAAAGCAATGCTTAATTGGAGAAAGGCTTCATAGCCAAAAAAATTTGTAAGGGTTCCGTGGAACCCAGTGTCTCGCCTACTTTTGCTGTTAGTCGCAGGCTCAACAGAAATGGGGAAAAAATTATTAAAAATTTTTCCTCTAGATACTATCTTTTGATTGTAAGAAGTTCTGTTCAAGTTTGGTAAAAATCCAAGAAGGTTTATGAATCTTATAAATGTTTTAAAAACTTTAACTGCAGACTGTACGTAATGTTTGGTAAAAATCCAAGAAGGTTTATGAATCTAATAAATGTTTTAAAAACTTTAACTGCAGACTGTACGTAATGTTAACTGGAATAAAACTAAGTCCATCTTAGTTCTATAAGTAATATACGGAAAAACAGGAAATAAATTTTTACAAAATTTCCTTCTAGATACTAGTTTTGATCATAAAGAAGCTTCTGTCCAAGTGTGGTACAAATCCAGGATAGTTTAAGAAAGTTATCAAAATTTTGAAAGCTTTAACCACAGAGTGAATGTAATGTTAACTGGCAGAAAAACTAAGTCCATTTATAAGTGAAATACGGATAAACAGGATTTTTTTTTAGCAAAATTTACTTTTGAATACTGTCTTATGATCACAAACAAGCTTCTGTTTAAGTGTGGTACAAATCCAGGATAGTTTAAGAAAGTTATTAAAATTTGAAAAACTTTCACCACAGAGTGAATATTATATTAACTGGTAGAAAAACTAAGTCCATATATGAGTAATATACGGATAAACAGGATTTTTTTTTTACAAAATTTTCTTCTGGATACTATCTTATGATCATAAACAAGCTCCTGTCCAAGTTTGGTTGAAATGCAGGATAGTTTAAGAAAGTAATTAAAATTTCAAAAACTTTAACCACAGGGTGAATATTTGTGGACATCGCCACTGCCGACGGAATGCAGGATTGCTATGTCTCGCTTTTGCGACAAAAGTCGCAGGCTCGACAAAAAGGTTACAATCATTTCAACTAAAGTTATTACATGTCACGAATGATACAAAGAGCTTTATTTAATAGGTTATGATAATGAATACCTTTAAGACCTCATGAAAATGTTTTGGTTCATCAATGATCTGAACATTGTTACCATTTATACCAAAACATGGTGCTATATCTCCCAGCCATGAGAAAGCATGAGGTGCCGATACAGAACCCTTAGATGACAAGTCTTTACTTCTGATGAATTCCTTCTTTGACTTGTGACTTGATACTAATCTGAAGAGAGAAAATAATTTCACAATATTTGTTTCTAAAAGTTTTCATATTTTCAACAAGAACTGACTAACCAATTTTTAGAGTAATTTGACAGTTAGAAAAGATTATTAACCTCACAAAAAGTTGTCTAGATGGGGGGATAACTCTAACAAAACTTGCCAGATAAAATATAGAAAGTATTTGATTGATTGTTGGTTGTTTAACATCCAGCGGCAAATATTTCATGCCTGTTCAGGACGAGAAAATATTTGATGCCAGAGACATGCACTATCTACAAGTCACATTCTTGAACAGATATCAAAATGTCAGTGATTTTGTCTAAATAATAACAATGAACATACAAGTTCATTTAAGAATTTACTGGACTACTCCCTGGCTGCAAGTATGCACAGTCATTTATAATCCAGCTTAATATTTATAATAATGCAAGCTAGTTTTAGATTAGAGCCTAAATTTAAAACTTTACATATATCTCCCCTATTTATCATACAGGTGATTTGTTGACTATTCATCATTCCTATTCATCGGCATAATATAACACCTATTGCACTGTTGGATAAGTTCCCCCACTCCATCACTCCCCTCCCTTCCTTCCATGTACAGTGGTTTTATTATATTTGGCTATACAAACTATTAACTATCAGCAATCCTGATGCTTGTTAATGTGAAATTTTAATGACTGCATGAATACCATTATTGGTGAATTTTATATACCCCAAAAGAATATCAGGCACCCTGTATTAAATGTGCCCAGTATTGTTCACATACATTTTGTTAAACATTAACTGATTAAGTTGATGAATTTTATATACTTTTTTAAATCTCTCAAGAAGAGTTTACCTCAAACAGCAAATAAGGTAATAGTTTACTTTGATTGAACGATATGACTATTGCTTGCTTAATGTCCAGTGGCAAATAATTCATGCATATTTTTAGAAAGATTTTCAACTCTGATGATGAATTCATAGATGAGAAGATCAAATTTTACATTTAATAGACAATTTACATTCACATTATTTGTCTGGCCTAAGATTTATTTTTTAGGGCAAACAAATTTAATTTAACATTGGATTTTTAACTAAAAACCATGGTAACTCTGTATATGCCGTAATCTGTATCACTTCCTACTTTTGTGATTTTTTTCTGTATTATTTTTATCCTGATGACGCCCGGCCAGTGCTCAAGGCGCTGAAACATGTCAATCTTATCAAATTTCTGTAGCAATCCATAATGTGTTGTTGTTATAAGAGTCTCTACATTTATTGTTTTGGTGTTGTAATATCTTAACTTTAGAAGAGATATAAATCTAAATCTTTAATATACATGATATAGAGTGCAAATTCAAATTAAAAATAAGGCCAATAAGCCCAAAGCCCTTATTAATTCCTTGTTGGATTTAATGCCCTATAGATAAAAAATTAACCAGACTACATTTTTATACATGACATATCAATCAATTTTGCTTTTTCAATTTTAAAATAGTTATGATTGATTATAGATATGTAAAGAACTTCCTTCCTAATACTATCTCATGTAATCAGTCAAAACGCTAATCTAGGAAGAAGAGAATCCCCTCCAGATATGTAATCATTTATGTACAAATGGGTAAAAACATTTCAGGAAAACATCTTAAACATTAGCAAACATAATTATATAATAATCTTGTAGTCTACAATTTTTAAAATAAAAAATAAGGTATTCCAAATGCCTTTTTTTAGCTAATTAAGAAATGGTCCAAAAAATTTCAAAAATCTTCTTTTCTCGTTCACTGAGTGAAAATCGGTTATAAAATTTATGCAAATTCTCTAATGTACATTTGTCATCATTTCATCGCAGTGATTACATGCATAAAATGACAAAATGCATCAATATTTTTACATACTGCACATTGCATGTAGTAAATCAATAAATAATTAACAATAATGTGTGAAGTTATTGCACAAACGCCATAAAGAGGTGCAGGCTTTTTATTTAAAAAAATAGCAATCAAACAATACAAACTAAAGAATGTAAAATGCTTCTACAATACATATATCCATATTAATACTGTATTTACAAAAAATACTTCCAACACTATCATTCATTATCCAATCATATTTTTTTGATAATTTGTTCTTTATCTCATCCTTAATATGCATGAAATATTTGCTCCTGGATGTTCATTGATGTTAAGCAAACATTAATCAATGAATCAATATTTTGTGTAACAGTAAACTGATTTTGATATTAAGAGAAAAAAGATGACCACAGTTTTGATGAATGAAGATATTTTCTTGTTGTTTGATTTTAGCATTGTTTAACCAAAGTTGTGTTAATAAAGTTTAAATATGAAATGTCAGCACAATACTGTTATTTATTGACAAATTCAAAAAGTTTTCTACAATAATTTGTGACATACATTTTTGATATTCGACTTAAAATTTAAGGAATGTTTCACATGATTTGAACTGAAAATACTGTATCAAAAATTGGATTAAGAGAAGGCAGGCCGGCACCTGGTATCAGTCCTATTTAGTTCACATAATTGTAAAGTATAATATTGTCCTATGAAATATTGTCCCCCAAAACAATATTTCATGACTATGTATCATGAAATAATTTGTCCTCATCTATGAAAAAATGTCCAGAGAAGGACACATTTTCATTGTGAAATTTTGTCTGTATCTAGACAATATTTCAAAGATGAATACTATGAAATTTTGTCCTAGCTGTTAAAGGAAGGTTATATTTTGTGTATATTGAGACAATATTATTTCATATACAGATTTTCATGAAATTTTGTCTCATGAAGGGGAGGTTATCAACATATATCATGTTGGATAATGATATTTTATTTGACTGATAATAAAAAATAAACACAAATTAATATTTCAGTTACATTGAACTCCTGTACCTCCAAAACACCGTCACAAAAAGATTTGTCAATCTAGTATTTAGGAACACATTGTACTATAAGTACATTCAATTTTGAACTTCAGGGGTTAAAAAAATTTGTTACAGCTCACTAGCCCAGGACTTATTGGTAGCAGGATTTTACTAGCCCTGTTGAAAGAGCTGCTAGCCCATCAAAACTGACCTGCTAGCCCGAGTATACCTTACAAATTTAGAGTGGGTGTCCTTTGTTTTGAATGCGGCATTATACACGGTATTTGATAAAATAAATCAAATAAATTTTTGTTTTATTAATTATAACAAGGATCTCTAGACATCTTTTTGGATATCCCTTGTACTATGGGTTGTTAAATATTTTCGGGCACAGAAAACATGTTTATTGATCTTGTCATGTGAAACCAGTGGTTCAATTCGTATATTTGTTGTTCCCACATACAAAGAAGACTTTTTATCAGCCTGATCAGGAAAATAACGGCAATATTCACAAAACATCATCTCTTGTTTATCATCAGTAACAGTCGACCTTGCCCATGGGGAATCTTTCTGTCCATGACACAATAAATGTTTTTTTCCGCTTTTCCTGGTCGTATTTGGCATTTTTTGGGATAAATTTTCAGCCTCATTACCCCCTTCATCTACCGTTTTTCGTTTTGAAACTGACATTTAGTTCCTGTGGTGGCCATACTAAAATGTTTAGAAATAATTTGTGCATGGTTTCAAGCTCAAATTAACAGCTGTCCGACAAGACAGGTCAATATCGATCATTACATTATACACCCAAGTACCATTAATTGAAAATCTCGGCATAAGCAATGTACAATACCCCCTGTACTGAGAAATTGATATTGAAAGTACGTGAATTGCGATCAATACATGATACCGGTCCACCCAGAGTTAGTTGTTCTATTTTTAAAACATGTACAAAATCGGTTCAAATTCTTGGAATCCCGGATGACGTTACGTAATTGAATCTGATTGGCTAAAATAGAATAGTGATGAGGGGATTTTTCACTTACTATTTTGGAAATGCCAAGAACTGTTTGTTACTAGTCCGTCGGACATATTCGGTTACAAGTTTTAATTGCCCGAAGTGTAAAAGTCTAGTCCCGGGCATCGGGCTAGTGGATTTTTTAACCCCTGAACTTATACGAGTGATTGTCAGTACATTACTTATATGTATACTGTATATTATGTAGTACAATGGAACATACATTAGACAATTCTTTAATCTATAATTAACCATTTATAAAGTATCTATGCAAATCTGAAACTAGCTTATGTTAAGTTGAATAAATATTTATTATTAGTTTGAAATATAAAATACTTACTTAACAAAATAATTTCAGTTATATATATAAATATGTGCACGCTGCATGCTTGAGTACTTTTTCTAATTTTGTAATAATTTGATTGAGAAATTATTTCATGGACAGTATTTCACAGTGAAATATCGTCATGGACAGAATTTCACAAGGAAATAATGTCATTATAGACAGTATTCCATAGTGAAATATTGTCATGGACATAGTGAAATATTGTCCTGAAGGAGGTGACAAATTTCATGGACAAGGACACTATTTCATGATGAAATATTGTCCTGGACATTATTTCATTATGAAATAGTGTCAAAGGACAATATTTACTATGACTGAATGACAATATTTCATGGGGGACAATATTTTATGTTACATATGGTCAGATCATATGTTTTCATACGTCATATGAATTCGTACTATGCATGCTTTTTCAATGGAAATTGTGACATCACAATGCATTCTTAATAGCACGAAAACACATGAGACGAGGATATATACTTTTAATTTTGAAGTTTTAAAGTAAGATTCAAAGTGAGGAATATACATTCCTTATCACAATTTAAAAGTTAAATTGATTTTACAAGACTGTTTTATCTATAAAATTATTCATATGATACTAAACATTCCAAACATATGAGCATCCTACCTGCATCATGACCATATTGAACAATGGACTTGTTCCTACTGAGATGTTAGTCCAAATAAATATAATGTCTTTTTTAAGGAGTATTTCAATTTTTTTGCAGTGACATTGTACAAAAGCATCACAGCAAAAAATGAAAATACCCTTATACGTCTATTATGTGGAAATCTGAAATTTATTTAAATAAGCATTGTAATATTGACTATTGTAAATGTACTGGGAAATGCACAAATGTGTGGATTGTCTATAGGCTAAAGTGCTGTATAAGTCGTATCTAGATAATCAATCATAATTTTGAAGAAAAAAATGTTGTCTTGTTCTGAACTATTAAATGACCCCTAAGACAAGTAAGCCTGTTATAGATAAAGTTGCTTTAATTTTCTCCTGTGGTGTGATCTTAAAGTGATTGACATGAAAACATTTATAGAACTTCTATATTACCTGACACCTGTGAAAACTCCCATAAATCCAACAAAGCGCTGACCAAAGCGATAGATTCTTTGTAAAACCATGCCTGAACTGTCTGCTCAAATGTAGCACATGATGTAATTTTGTTTACAGTAAGATATGAAAAATCCCGATTCCAGTTTCATAAGGTAAAGTCAAGAGAGGAATCTATGACAACTCGCCCTACAATAAATCGCCCCATTTTTTTACCAACTCGCCCCACTTTCTAAAAAATCGCCCACTTTTGTTAACAGTTGAATATAGGTCTGCCAACTCGCCCCAATTATGAAAAAGGTTAAAATCACGCTGAATAGTGGTCTGCCAACTCGCCCCACTTATGAAAAATTGTAAAATCAAGATGAATTTTATAGACCATCCAACTCGCCCCTCTTATGAAAAAGGGTAAAATCCCGTTGAATATAGGTCTGCCAACTCGTCCGTCTGTCCGTCCGTCTGTCCGTCTGTCCGTCCGTCCGTCCGTCCGTAACAAATCGTGTTCGCTCTATATCTAGAGAATCGTTATGATTTCAAAGTTTATACTTGACGTATATCAACCATCACCAGAGGTTGTGTCATAAAGTATGTACAACTTCCTAGGTCAAAGGTCAAGGTGAAAAACTTTAGTTTTAGTTGACAACCCCATGTCCTATGGTAAAGATCGTATCCGCTCTATATCTTGAAAACCGTTATGATTTCAAAGTTTATACTTAATATGTATATTAACCAACACCAGATGGTGTGTCATAATGTATGTACAACTTCCTAGGTCAAAGGTCAAGGTCAAAAACTTTGGTTTTAGTTGACAACCCCATGTCCTATGGTAAAGATCGTGTCCGCTCTATATCTTGAGAACCGTTATGATTTCAAAGTTTATACTTGATATGTATATAAACCAACACCATAGGGTGTGCCATAATTTATGTTCAACTTCCTAGGTCAAAGGTCAAGGTCAAAAACTTTGGTTTCATTTGACAACCCCATGTCCAATGATAAAGATACAAATTTTTTAACACACATTATTCACAGCGGGGCCCACAGAGATGGCTTCCATCTCAATGATATCTAGTTTCAATCATAATCATATATTCAATTTTCGATTTTTATTAATATCACAAGTGATTTGTTTTATTCTGTGTATATAAGTGTTCATAAGTTGGGCGAGATTGCAGACCTTTATTATATATGATCGGGATTTTACCCTTTGTCATAAGTGGGGCGAGTTGGTAAACCAGAGGAGCGATTTTTATAGAAAGTGGGGCGAGATTTTGAACAAGAGTGGGGCGATTTTATAAAAAGTGTGGCGAGTTGGTGAAAAAGTAGGACGGTTTGGTGTGGGACGATTTGGCAGTGGGGCGAGTTGTCTTACTTCCCAAGAGAGCACCTACCGGAAATGACGTTCGCAGTGAAATCTTTTACATGACAACGCTCCTGGTTACAGACGACAAACACAAGCACTTGTTGAAAATATCGATGCAGTGAGCGTTTCATGGACAGTTCCAAAGTTATATCACAAAATTTATAAAGCGTTGAAGGCAGCTTAAATTGCCACTATGTCGGGGGTGGAAGAATTAGAGCTGAATGACTCCCGCGTGGACTTCATGGCAGATTATGTCATCAAAACTTTGAAGATCAAACCTGACAGATTCCAGAAGATGTATGGTGTTGAAGATACTAGACAAATGTACATGGATTTCTTTGAAAAACCAGAGTGCATGTCTCTGGTTGTTGGTCAGCCTGCAGGAACTCTGGTCACATCTTTTACATGGCCAAATAAACCAAAAGCAAAGGCTTGTTATTTTGTCAAGACTGCTCGTGAAGCCATCAGCAAAGATGCAAATTTGAGAACAGCTTTGATTTATGGAGATCTTTCATATGCTCCACTTGACCAATTGTCAGCTTTTGTGGATGAGGTAGTAATTCAGACATGCTTTAATCCTCATAGTCATAGTTTAGTTACTGCATGATGTTCACTTTATCGTACAACTCTTTGTACTTGTAGATCCTCTGTCTTTCTCGTAGTTGCTAGTTCTTGTCATTAGTCAACTTCGACTTTAAACACTATCCTTCATTCTATCTCCTGTAGTATTAGTTTAGTATATATTATATATGGTCTTGTATATGAGTCTTCACGATTTATTATCACAACTTGACACAAGCCATACGACTCAAGCAAGGAAAATTTACTGAAAAAAAGAGTGTAAGCAAGCCAAATGAATTTAAGGAAAATTTTTGGGCTTGTACATGTTAGTCTAATAGATTTGTGAAGACTTATGTACTGTACTGTAGGCAATAATGGGGTGGTGATATTAGAAGAGTTTAGCTCTAAAGACTACCTGAAGAAACCAGACATCTGTCTAACTTTGATAATTAATAAAAAAAAACAAGATTCTTATATTCATATATGTTACAATTTATATAATGTACATGTAAGTGGATTTTTGAACATTATAGTCAGTTGACGAGGCAAATCTGCTTTTTAGGCAGGTAGGTAAGAAACGTCAATCTACATTTTCTTTTTGGCCTAAAACATATTTTTGGTAATGCTTTGGCTCCTGTCTATTTTGACCAATAAACTATGCATTAAATGGCAATTTTTTGTCAAAATGTTAATGATGTTATAGTGACAATTATTCTAAAAAACATTTGAAAGTAGTCAAAAGATCTAAGATACTGGTGAAACGATGAAAAATAAATTAACACTGAAACCAGCTGTGAAAGCCCAACAGATTTTCATGTTATTAAAAGAAAAATACATGGAGATGTAGATACATAGTTGATTTTTTTGTGTCATCAGATTTTTATCTCAGGGAATATTTTTTCTGGTAAAACATATTATAATCACAGCGGGTAAATTCATGAGAGAATTAAGGAATTTTTGTGAGCTTTTTAGGGATATGCATGTATAAATAAAATGTTTTATATATTGGATGACCGAATAGATATTACCAACCAGCACTTTCAACAATAGCATTTTCATCTAGCAGAAAAATCTGAAATGTGCACTTCTGTCAGACAGAACCTAAAGCAATTTGTATGGCAGACTGGTAAAATTTTAGTACCCATAGTTTAATGGATATAATTTGCAATCTGAAAATAATAAAATGACTTTAAGATTTAAAGGTTATGCTTGCAATAAAAACAAACAAATTTTAAATTGTAGTGATACCAACTAATGAAAAAATAATATGTAAGGGTTCCGCGGAACCCAGTGTCTTGCCTACTTTTGCTGTTGTCTATGTTTTCAGTGTGATAGGGGAATGCACATAATAGATTTACAGTTAATGAAATAAAATGTTTGAAATGTATGAAAAAAGTTATGCTTGTAAAAACGAATACAGTATGCAATCAAATCTATAGATTAATAAAAGAGTTGAAACATAAATTTATTGAATGGGGAAAAATTATTAAAAATTTTCCTCTAGATACTATCTTTTGATTGTAAGAAGCTTCTGTCCAAGTTTGGTAAAAATCCAGGATGGTTTATGAATCTAACAAATATTTAAAAACTTTAACTGCAGACTGTATGTAATTTTAACTGGAAGAAAAACTTAGTCCATTTATAAGTAATATAAACAGAAAAACAGGAAATAAATTTTTACAAAATTTCCTTCTAGATACTATCTTATGATCATTAACAAGCTTCTGTCCAAGATTGAAAGAAATCCAGGATAGTTTAAGAAAGTTATTAAAATTTCAAAAACTTTAACCACAGAGTGAATATTTGTGGACGCCGATGACGAAATGTACGATCACTTTGTCTGGCTTTTGCGAGAAAAGTCGCAGGCTCAACAAAAACCAAATCATTGCCAAATGAAAATACAACAAAACACACAAGAACATGGTATTTCATTCTTTTTTAAAAATCTATAGAATAATTGTTAGAAAAATGCCAAAACAGATAATATTTGAGTATAAAAAACAAGCAGCAGTTAAGAAAATAGAAGAAATGGATCAAAAAGTCATATACATTGTAATAAAAACAATTGTTGAATTTTGATATCAGTTGCAACAAATAAGTGTCAACTCCAGAAATGTGTTAACTGCATCAGCTGTTGGTCTGGATGAATTGATCTCTGGGGTTGGATGATTAATCAAATGTATCAACCTCATCAAAAGTCAATAATTGTGTTTAATGTCTCAGCTTTTGGTCTAGATGAATTGATCTCTGGGGTTGGATGATTAATCATTGTATCAACCTCATCAAAAGTCAATAATTGTGTTTATTGCCTCAGCTGTTGGTCTGGATGAATCTCTGGGGTTGGATGATTAATCATTGTATCAACCTCATCAAAAGTCAATAATTGTGTTTATTACCTCAGCTGTTGGTCTGGATGAATCTGTGGGGTTGGATGATTAATCATTGTATCAACCTCATCAAAAGTCAATATTTGTGTTTATTGCCTCAGCTGTTGGTCTGGATGAATCTGTGGGGTTGGGTGATTAATCATTGTATCAACCTCATCAAAAGTCAATAATTGTGTTTATTAACGTGAACTGCGTATAAATTTTTTAAAGGGTCGGGACCTCTAAAATATTAGCCATATTCTATATTACTTTATTGGTAAACTAATGTATACTTCAATAAATTCTGAATATCCTGGTACAAAAAACAATCTATATACATTCCATTTGTTTTATCATATTAAAATTGATTTGGTTATAACATATATATTTTTAAAGTTGTTGTTTTTCAGCCATTAGATTGTGGCAACTGTTTCGACCATAAGTCTTCTGCCTTTTTATGTTAGTTTCATGGTAAATATTCTGTCCTATTCATAGTACCTGACATTTACAATTTTTTTCCCTAGGTCTTGGTTCCATTGTTATCGAATGATAGAAACCATGATCACTGGCCACAAGTTGTTTCTGCTGATGTCACAACACACTCCCACAGACTTAAAAGTGATGTGTATGTTGTCTCAGGACAAGCAAAAGGGAAGACCTTACTGCCTCTTCCTGTTGGTGCCGATAAAGTGGATGTTGAAGATGACAAGTATGTGCTTTTTGCTTATAGAATTACAGTTTTAATACTATTTATACATCTTATAAGAGAATCACTGGATCACAGTGCATATCAATTGTCTTGGTGTTTCAATAAATG